AATATGAGGCCTGACATGGAAATGCTATCAAATGAGAATGGTAGTATTTTTCACCCATTTTGCTGAGGTATAGTTGACTACCCAAGGTGTGAGCTGTGGGAAATCAGGACCATCAAAAGTAGCTCTGCCACAATATATTTTTAATGTGATTATTTTAATACAAGTGTAATTCTTTTGGCCTCTTAAAATGCAAACAGTAAAATAAATCAAAAATAGACTCTTTCACATTTGTCAACCTAACTTACATCATCTACTGCAAGGAAATCTGAAAGTTAAAGCAAAAAATCTGGGATGATATTGAACTGAATTCAGAACATTTTTCTTTTAAAAGTACAACAGAATAACAAGAGAAATACCATGATTTGGGCCATTTAATACAGATTTCCTTGAGTTTGTAACATTTGTGCAACTTAATAACTTCAGTGGCGTTTCTTCTGATTTTATACTGGTTCAGGCAGATCAGTAAAGGCTTTTGGGTTTAAGCCAGATCTTCTGCATCACATGAGCATTACACAAGCATTTCCTTAGGTGCTTTTAAACTTTTTATTTTTTTATACAGAGAAAAAGGTAAACTAGCTATACAATGTAAGAAAGTTAAAATGATTATAACATTAAATGTAAATCTGAAATCTTACTAAAATACCTTGTGTTTTAAAAGTAGCAGTGCCTTTTAAGTTTACATATCCAGGTTTTTTGTAGCTGGTACCATACGTGTGATAACATAAGGTGCATGAAAATAACCTTATATAATTGTTTTTGTTAATGCAAAATAAACAGCTACTACAGAGTAATCTCCTAATTTTCAGAAGTCACTGGTAATTTCTGCAGTTGCTCAACACTTTGAAAATCAAACCATGAGATACTATATTTCAATACTGCTAGAGCAGGCTAAGGGCAAAATTCCCAATCTGCCCACTGGATCTGCCCACTGGATCTCAATCCCAGTATTCTCCTTATCCTACATAAATGGACAATCCATTGACATCACCAGGCTTCCATCAGTGGGAGATCGAAGAATGTATGGACAGATAAAGGGTAGACTCTGAATTATATGGATTTGTGTTAAGAATTCTGCCCTTAGTTTGTTGAACTTTATACACTGAACAACAACAAAATCAAAATAAACAACATTGTCTAAAAATAAAAGCATTGTTTGGAAAATTACTTTTTAAATGATCTTCTATGTTCTAAATTTAGTAAAAACAATCTTTAAATTCATGTTTTTAAAATGCTTTCTGAAATCTTGTTTAGGTTTTTTTCACATATTTTTGATGGGGATCACTCGCCAGGAAAGCAAAACCCCATGTTTTATCTTCATATTAGTCTTTGCAATTAAACATAGTTTGTGAATCATCTGATAAAGAATAATGCATGCTTATACTGTGCTAAGTCCACATAGTATCATAGCTTGCCCAATAGTGCATGCAGTATTTGCAGGTTTTGATAGTCTGTCTGTGTGACATTGAGAACAGTAGTCAAATTCACTATCAGTGTATGAAGTGCAGCTCCACTGACTTCATTAGAGTTGTTCCGATTTATTCACACAGTGTATTTGACTCAACATTTGTACTTTTCTTTGTTCTGCAATAGTATGTTGTGGCAGTGGAAGTTGCTTGATTAACATGATCTGACTGCAGTTTTGCCAGATTTCCAGTAGATGCCCCCAGAGACCATTCAACCTATTGACAAATTATTATTACAGTTACAATCCAAGTTCTTTTCTTTTTTTTTTCCTACTTGGCTCTCAGTGAGTCTCGAAGTGGCCTAAATGTTGACAGGAAACCTCAAACCGAATGGATAGAATGTAGACAAATAAGTTTTATAGTTAAATAATAACATCTTGCTATGCAGTAAGATTCACTATGGTCAACATAAATTTGTTTGTTTAAAAAAAAAAGCAGACTATTCAGGTAAAAGTTCACAAGTAGTTTTAAAAAATCACTGAACTGTGTGCAGGATATTTTATGTCAATTGATAACTAATGGTCAATTATTGAAAACATGATCAATTTGATTTAGTATCTCTGTTTGTTCCTGTGCACTACATAATGTTATAATGAAACATATGCTTGGATATAAACAATAATGTTGGTAGGGATCTTTAATTCATCTTAAAATGTAATCCGAAGATTACCTTCCTTGTCTCCACTACATCCATGTTAAAAACTAACATGCTTTACTACAGAACACTGACATTTTCAACAGGAATCCTGTTGATAATTGAAAGAATTTCAGTATAATTGTCAAATGATCCCTTAGATTACATTCATAAAATGTATCCCCACAATGTGAATTTAAGGCCATTATAACTCATGCATGATTCATCACTTGTGGTTTATAAATACTTTACAGTAATTTAAAGAGGCAAAAGTGTTATGCTGCTCCATGCAGTAATTTCTGTCCTTTAAGTGTAACTTTGTCAGATAAACTAGCTCTTTTTTATTATACTGTAGTTGAAATGTTATTACTGTAGGTAGGCTTGTTATTGGTACAATATACAGTTATACAATTATCTTCCCCTGAGAAAACTAAATATTAAGTACAGTGAGGTCACTCCAGCTGTAATTTAGTTTCTTTTCTTTTAGTTAATTGGCATAGCCTTTTGCTAGAAAATTGGTGACACAAATTGTAGTTACACCACTGTCTTCATCCTGCATGTAAATGTATTAGTTTGCAAATGATACTTCTCATTTGAGAAAATGTGCTTTGACCTTAAGTAAAATGCATTTGTCTAACGAGATTAGCACACTTGGCTGTGTCAATTTTATGCTACTCTATAAATACTAGTATAATGTTCAAATAATTATGATGGAACCTACAATTGAACTGAATAATGTTTTGACTAGTTACAAATATATTTTATATATTTGTTAAAGATGGCTAGTTATTTTATCTCCGCTTCCTAAATTACTTTTAACATTCACTACTCTTCCCCCCTCTTCCCTCAAAGCTTTCACTACGCTCAATTATACTAATTTAGCGTTCACTGTTATTGAAGTCAGTGGGATTTCCTCCCACCCCCCAATTACTCTCCACAAGCATAGGTGAATTACTTATGCAGGATCAGTATGCATCAGTGGAAGAACAGATCCTTTATTAATGGCTTTTATTTTTATTGTGTTAATGGAATATAAACAGCACAGATCATTGACACTTAAAGCTTATTTTAAAACTTGCCTGCTCCATTTTGACTTAAATAAAAAGGTGTTTACATAATTTTCATTAGTATGGAACTGGAAAATAACTACAGTAGTAATGAATGGAACAGAGACTGGGCCAGCCACAAAAAGGAAATCCGTATGCTTTCCACTATGGAAATGAAGATGTTGTAATGGTCAAATGATTGATTGGACACTCCTTGTTGAGAAATGAAATGAGGTTGTAAGGGGCATACTGCAGGTTGCTCCAGTTGGAGACAAGTTGAGGTAGGTTGGTATGAGCTATGTTGGTAGGATGGCTGTTGCAATGATCGTCAGTGGAAGGCAACCAACAGGGAGACCAAAGACTCAGTATAACTATCTGTATGACAGCTTGGCATACAGTCATGAGTAAGGCTGCAAGTCCTCACAAGTCACAGATTCCATGGCTTTCCGGGACCTCCGTGACTTCTACAGCGGCAGATGTAGCCGGCCCGGCGGCCCCCCCCCACCAGCAGCAGCAGGGGTCTCGTGCCGCTGAGCCGCCCCTTCCCCCAGCAGCAGCGGGCGTCCCGGGCCACACACTCCCCCCTGGCCCATCCCCCCCCAGCACCAGCCAAGGTCACGGACGTGCGCTGTCGCACCTCTTCCCCCCGAGCACCCACAGCACTCCCTGGCCACCCCACCCCGCAAGGAACCCAAGATTTAGTCAGGGGTATATAGTACAAGTCATGTATAGGTCACCGGCCATTTTTGTTTACTGCCTGTGACCTGTCCATGACTTCTACTAAAAATATATGTGACTAAAACGTAGCCTTAGTCATGAGTTTTGGAAGAAGGCTATAAAAGTTGCCAATACTGAATAGGGAAATGGCAAGAAAGAAGAGTTGTTCCTAGGCTAGAATTAGTCTTATTTTTAAATTGTTTAACATGAACCTCACTCAAAACCTGTTAAATGTACAGTAAACATCAGTTTTCAGAATTCCTTATTTTCTTTTATAGGCTCTGAAAATTTTGTAGTAAAAAAGATAGTCTTTTAATGGGAAAAATTGTTTGGGAATATCAGTAGCATAATACAAAATCTAGAGCTTTGTCATTTTAGTGGGATAGAGATGGAATTTTTACCCCACACTAGAGGCCCAATCCTGGAAACTGTTAATTCTGGGCCCTAGATTGTTTCATGCCACTTGAAAGAAGTATTTGGATTAAGTCCATAAATAATGTCTCAAAAGATGTATTACCTCTTGAAAATATTTAATTATGCATCTCTTTTTTTAATATGTATATCTTGCCCATGTTTATCAGTGGAATAACTTTGATATAAATTCTTCATTGTATCTCTGTGGACATGTCATTTGCTTTTAAAATTAGGCAGAAACTATGAAACTTCTGTATCACTAGCTAGTCCCAGATGAAGTCAGACACTGAACAGAGGCAAAATAATATGTAATGATTCTGTTTCTAACAAATACCAATCCACCATTACCTCCAGTAAAACTATTTAACATGTACATTGTTTTGATATGAAGTATGTGCTTATTTTTTTCCCTATGTAGATTAACTCAGTTGACTGTCCTGATTGATTTCAGTTGAGGAACACCAGCATATTTTATAATGCAGTTCCAATAAAAGTACTTATAGATTACCACTATTGCTATATTCTGTTCTATAGTATAGGGTTTAGTTAAAAAACATTCTGTAAAAAATCCTGTGATTAAATGATTCAAATATTACCTCTCCTTTGTTGTTTCTGAAGTCTGCATTTGAAAACCATTGTAGTATCTTTAATTATGTGTGTGGGGGAGGATTGTAGAGAACATAAATACAGATTTAAAGGATTAAAATCAGTATTTCTTATTCCCAGTTACAGGAATTCATACAAGAAGAACATCTGCATAGACATGCTGCGACAGGGTTATCACAAGTCCTTCTCTGAGCTCTTCACTCTGATACAGAAGTGGAATGCCTTGAGGGAGGCTTCAGGGCCTGGGTCAGCCATATGGCAGCAGAAGTCCCTGGAGGAGCAGCCTGATAAGCTGGATCAGCTTCACCATTTCCTGACCAGGGCTGAGGCAGCCCAACGAGCAGGTAAACGGAGGAATTGTGGGTAACAGAACAGCAGGAGCTGCAGCAGTGAGTGCCTGAGGGAAGATTCTAAATTGTTTCATGTATGAATTTGAAACATTACTGCATCTTAGCACATTGCAGCCTTAGTCATCTGAGCTGTATTTATAGACTAAATGATAGGTAACTCTGAATTTCAACGCCACGGATACAGTGAGAGGTTCTGTGAAATAACTGGGAAAGAGCATCTAGAGTGTATTATGTCACTAGAAATCTTGAGATATATTTACAGCCTTGATAACATCTCAGTTATAACCTAGTTCATAGTTTCTTTATTTTTTTTGTTTTATCTATTGATTTTAACAGCTATTTTTTACTTTACTAGAGAAATATAACTTTTAAAACATTCATTTACGCTATCAATATTTTATAAATCTGATATTTTAAAACATAGATGCTGCTCAATGTGGTTACATTTGGAACTGAAAAAATAAAAATGGATTGTAAATATGTCCAGTACAACATGATACACTGATGTGACATATTTTTTAATTAAAAGGTGTTTGTGAAGTCATAACTCTGAATTACTGTATTTTTGCTGTTGCCTAAAAATAAATTGTTATTCTATTTAAAGTATTCTTTTACTGTAAATACTAGATCATGCAATAAGTTTCTTTCTTATCCTTCATAATAGTAGGAGCTGAGGTTATATACATTTCCATTACACTCCACTAGTTTCAGTTTATATTTTTGATCATTTAGGGTAGGATAACTTAAAACAAGGTTTTGACAAGGAACATCCTTCATCTCAACTTTTTAGACAGGGCAAACTTTTTTTTTTTACGGACTTCTCCTGTAGTTGAATATTTTTACTTTAAAAACTGAATTTTAGGCCATTGTATTTATTCTGAATTGTAATTATAGCCAACAAACTGCACAATGGGCTAAGGTTCTGGAACAGCCTTCCAATGGTGTAGGGGAACAAACATCCTAACGAGTAGTAAGATGGAGCTTGATAAGTTTATGATTGGAATTGTATATTGTGGTTGCCTGTGATAGTATCAGACTGGATGATCCAGGAAGTCTTCCACTCCTATGTTCCTAAGACGGGTAAAAGTTAATGGACTGTCTTGGAGTGGGGATAAAGCCATCTTCACTTTGATGGAATACAAGGAGAAGAAATAGCCTTTTCACCTGGGCTGTCCTGATACAGGAATTTTGAGTATGATGCCTAAAAATAAAGGCTTCGACTGGACTTTATGTTGACTTATGGTGCATTTGTTTATTAACAAAGTCCATGAGGGGAAGTGAGTTGTGACCCTATAGCGTGTGTGGGCTGTGTCTTAGAGCAGGTGGGTAAGGTAGGAAATATAACAAAATATTAGCATTACTACAGGTTTCAGAGTAGCAGCCGTGTTAGTCTGTATTCACAAAAAGAAAAGGAGTACTAGTGGCACCTTAGAGATTAACCAATTTATTTGAGCATAAGCTTTCATGAGCTACAGCTCACTTCATCGGCATCCGTAGCTGTAGCTGGAAAGCTTATGCTCAAATAAATTGGTTAGTCTCTAAGGTGCCACTAGTACTCCTTTTCTTTTAGCATTACTACAGTTAATACAATGTTGCACAATTTAAGGTCCATAGCTAAGCATAACATTGTCTTCTAAAATTAAAAATACTAGAGCCAACCAAGATTTCGGGGAGGGGGATTAGTTTTAGGTTTATGCAAGTTTGCATTTGAAAATATAATTTTAATTTATAAATTAAATTCCATTTAGCCACATTGTTTAGATATTTTCCATATAACCATAGAGATGTAGGGCTGGAAGGAATTCAAGAGGTCATGTAGTCCATCCCCACCCCATGCTGAGAAAGGATATAAGACTTGTTATATGTTCCATTTTGGATAATATCTCTTAAATGGTTTACCACTTATCTATAAATGGATGATGCATGTTGTAACTTCTGCTCTGTTGCTGTAAGAGGTTGTTGGTTAACAGGAACAGTTGCACAAGAAGTTTATTTTCCAGTGCCGTGGATTAACTAACCATATCTTAGAAGGTCAGAGGTGGGGATAAGTGAATACTGCTTTATGAAATACAAGGACGGTGAAAGTGAACTTGCCTCCCAAATCTTAATAATGAATAAACCCATGATTAAAGAGGCCTTTGGCTTCACAACCACTATTAGACATTCCGGATGCTTTTTAAAAATTCTCTAGCAGTGTTTGAGCTGAAATGGGCTATTTGGAATTCAGACACTTTTGTATTATATGATCTTACTACTTAATGATGGTCATGGAGTAAGAGCTGCTGCTGCCAGATTTAGAAGTTTATAACTCCTCCAGATTGATTGCTAACCTACTGTGTTGATAGCAAAAGCTACGTATTCATTTGGCTGCTTTCTACATCTCAGTAGGAGAATTTGTTACTCTTGTTTTTACTAAGTTATCATAAGGACAGGACACCATACTGCTCAGAAAGAATTTTCTGCATGGGAAATACCAATATGCTGTACAAATCAGCATTGGAAGGGCAATCATTTTTGTTGCTTTCTTGGTTATGAATATTGTGATGGGTTGATTTTTCTTTAGTGTTTTGTAAGAATATGTGTTTAGTTTTTTCATGTCCTTTATTGCTATTGCCTGGTGATGTATTTCTGGCTGCTACGATGTTTGCTGATGATAGACATATAGTTTAGATAAAACTGAGTCTAGCCTGACGCAAACCAGAAAAACTACTTCTTTGCCATCTACCTGTTTGTTTCATTTCAAGTCTGAGGTGCTGCTAATCAGTAGTCATAGCATAGCTCTTCTGAAGAAGCACAAGCCCAACATGTGTGTGAAAATGTTTCCTCATTACTGTGGTGTCCCGGTTACCAAAATTTCTTACTTTACCTAGCAATTTGAAATGAACAAGACTATGTGGCATGGATCCTCAGTGTTCTGAGAACAGTGATCCCAAACAGCTAATGGATACCTTTTGAAGAGAGCTCCCTGATTCTGGTGACGTAACAGATGATTTTACTCATACATGGACTAATATATAAGCAGTGTTAAGGTACAAGCTGTGATATTGGCATCAGAAGAAGCAGAATATTTTTTTTCTTTTCAGCTTTTGGCAAACTGATCTTTGGTCTCTTTTTAGCACCTGTTTTCACCATATGTTCTTCTCACTACTTTTTGCTTAGTCAGTTTGTGTTGCTGTTGTTAGTATGCCATATCTCTAAACTATTGGTTTTGTTACCATCATCAATAAAAGGCACATGTTCCCTGACATTGTAAGAGTCACCCACCATGTTCTCCATATTGCTCCTGTTAATATCAATATACATCTCAAGCTTGTTTGTTCTTCATATCATTACAAAAGAAATTGAAGAATGCTTTACCATTCCTATTGCATGAATCAAAAAATGAGATGTATCAGTGCATGTTTTGCCAGTGTTACATTTGTTATGTACCATTTACCATTGCTCACAGTCAGTGAATTTTTGTTTTCATTTTTACTGGCAAATTATGATGGGCCTTCAGATCTTACAAGACTGCAAGATGCTTCCTCCAAATCAGCCACCAAAGCAGTATCATGGAAGGGACTGGTTATCGAATCTGGCCCCTTTCACCACAATAGCTGAGTACCTCCCAAGTATTTAAAAATAGAATTAAAAGAGAGATACTATTGTCCCTTGCAGCTTGTAGGAAAAACAGCTGATAGGGATTTATCTTTCCCTGGATTAAAACAAGAACCACCAGGAGAAACTGGAAGAGTTATAGGTGATATGTGTAAAAGTGCAGGCTTGAAGTTTTATTGATGATGATATTTCAGATGCTGCTAATTTGAAAGTAATTTACAATTATTCTCCTGACCTCAGCCTAACTACTGTGGGCCTACCTCATCTTTTTGCTAGGTTTGTTTACAGAAATAAAACAAAAAGTCTGGGCTGCTTCTCCATGTTATGTTTTTATAATGTAAGATTGTAATAAATAAATAGGTTGCTCTGGCATTCATCTATCCTTTCTGTGTGACATAGCACTTGGTGTAAACCTTTGCCGTTTGATATGCTTGTGAAAATACTATTAATATCTGTTCACTTAAAGCAAAATTGTGGTTGAGAAGCGGTATAGTACTAAGGATAGGTAGAATGTGCACCACCTGAACAGTTGTATCTGGAGGCATACTTCCTTGAAAGGCAGACTTAGTGCATTCAAGATGTGCTGGCAAACAGTTGTTGTTGTGCCTTTGAAGAGGGACAGCTAGACTTCCCCTCTCACCTCTTTCTCCTCCTTCCCTCCTCCCCCACCCCCGAGTTGTGCTGGTATGCAGTGAATATAAGGCCATAGTCCCACCCTTCTCAGCCATGCCTTCTCAGGTGCTGCTTGTACTGCCAGCAATGCTAGCTGTGGTCCCCAACATCTTCAAGTCAAATTATGGCTAACCCCCAAATAGGTGCACTGACTGAGAAGAGTTCCTTGCATTCTTTTCCTTGGTATAGTGCCTGCCATAATTTGGCTGGCTATTAGTGTGTGTGTGTGTGTGTGTGTGTGTGTGGAAGCAACATTTACTTAAGAAATCTTTTACTTTGCTTGGATCTAGAACTTGTTAACAGCACCCAATTAAAAATTACTAAGGAGAGCACCCCACCTCTGTGACGAAGTGTCTGACCCATCCCTACTATAAATAATGTAAAAGAAAATAGAGCCCAAAACACTGGATTTTAAGAGTTGCTGTGATCTTACATGGTGCATGTTGCTGACCCTGTAAACAGCTCTGCAGACATTGCTATCTTTTTTTATCATCTTTGTTCATTTATGCTTTGGGGCTATGTAGGCCCCATTTAGGCTAACTAACTCATTTGAATCAACTCCCCAAATCACACATCTATTTTTTTAAGTACATAAACAAATACATAAATTTTTATTTTACTATTAGGGTCCTATACAAATTATACCGTAAAGGATCACAGTGTTCCTGCCTTGATGAGTTTACAGTCTAGCAAGATAGGCAACACACACAAAGGTTTAGCAGTTG